CTATTCTATTCTATTCTATTCTATTCTATTCTATTCTATTCTATTCTATTCTATTCTATTCTATTCCCTGAGTAACCCAAAGATTGGAGACTGCTCTCACTGTTCTGGTGGATCATGGAGCATTAAGGATGGCAAGAAACACCAAAAGCTAGAAAACAATTTGGAAGTGGCCCTACCTTTGAGTTTATATGAGCAAACAAGGATTTTACAAAAAAAAATGTCCCAGGGCTTTCTCTAGATGAATAGACAGACTGATAGACAGGTGATAGATAGATAGATAGATAGATAGATAGATAGATAGATAGGTAGGTAGATAGATAGATATTATAGTAGATAATGATAGATGATAGATTGATAGATGATAGATGGATGATAGATGATAGATAGATAGACAGACACATATGATGACAGATGGTAGAAGATAGATAAATAGACAGACATATGATAGATGACAGAAGACAGCTAGATGGTAGATGATACAGATAAATAGATGATAGATAGATAGATAGATAGATAGATAGATAGATAGATAGATAGATAGATAGATAGATAGATAGATAGATAGATGATGGGTGGATGGATGGATGGATAGATAGATGTAAGAGGATAGATGATAGATAGATAGATAGATAGATAGATAGATAGATAGATAGATAGATAGATAGATAGATAGATAGAGATAGACACAGAAATATGACAGACATATGACAGAAGACAGATAAAATGCCAAGATAGCTTTTATAGCTTTAGGATATGTTTATACGAGGAAGCAACATCTGTAAGTTCAGAAGAATTTTGAGCAGTTGAAAATAAGGCAAGAGGGAGAACTCTCTCTCTCTCTCTCTCTCTCTCTCTCTCTCTCTCTGTGTGTGTGTGTGTGTGTGTGTGTGTGTGTGTATTGAAACAGAAGAACTGGGGATCCAAATAAGGCAGCCTTCAGGCAAGAAGTCTGATTTGAAAGTAGAAAAGACTGATGGGAAGGCTGAACCAAAAAAGAAAGAAAGAAAGAAAGAAAACCAACCCTAAAATCCGTAAAGCATGCCTTCTTTCTTTAGATTGCATCCAAGCAACCTCCCATAACCAAGTCAATTAATTGCTGCTTAATTGGGCCTTAAAGGCTTGAGAGAGAACAACCTCTAGAGGTAGCTTCGGAAGAATGCTTTATTTCCAGATTAATAGACCCCCTGATTTCTAGCCTCTGCCCTAAATTTGCGTTGGCCTTAATTCAAGATGTTTCCGTTTAAGAAGTTAAGGAGAATGAAGAATAAGAGCAATTAACTGACAGTTTGAACAAATTAATTAATGGAACA